AAGCAGAACACAAATCAAACACACAACATCTCACAGCAATGCCCCAACAAGAATAACAGGTACAACACCAGTTCTTCAGATGAATGATACAACAAGCTTTTCCGTGAGGTTTGCTTGTTTCACAAACAAGCACAAATCATCAAAAAAGTAATTCAGGCAAAAACAGCCGAAGTGGAACCTCTGTGGCACAAGGAAATTTATTTTTAAAACAGGAAAGGGAAAATACATAACCCCTCAAAGTCAAAGAGAAGCTAAACAACAAAGAGCTACAAAGCAAGTAAACCTATAACTACTGAGCCCCAAAAGGTTCACGGCTCCAGAACAAAACAGCATAATGATGAGTTCAACCCTCCATTTCTTTAGATGGTCATTGATAAATTTATTTTAACATTCGCTCCAAAGCGGCAACCCACTTTTGTACTCGAGAACAACTAGAACAAAATAACCATTCACTAGAGCCTAACTGCCACAGTTTTGTAATTGCTATATTTGTTTCTTCCAAACATTTTATCCACCTTTGACGCGACAGAAAAATATTCCGCAATAAATGAACAGCTTAAAAGGATTCAAATAGCTAATTTCAGTGATGTCTTCCAGAGACAATTTACAAACTCAACTGTAGCGAAAAAGCATAGGAAATTAAATGGCATCAACACAAGCTTTATACAAAACAAATACTGTGAAGTGCAGGTGCTTCCTGCAATTTGCAACCATTAGGTCAATACCAACCATTTCAAATGCAAAAACCTGTCACAGTTCTAAGCAACCATTTCTTGTCTCACAATTGGAAAGCTTTTGTATATACTTTTACCCAAAAGCTTTGCATCACTTCAAAGCTATTGTAGCAATGCTTTCCTCTTTTAAATTTTATACCAAATGGCAGTCTATAATATAGACCACTTACAGTTAACAATTACATGCATATCCACTACATGTAAGAAATGACAGAACACCAACTCAAGATATCATATTACGTACTCAAATAACTTTCCCTCTGCCCTTGCAGTAGGTCCTTGTTTAGGCAGTATGTTATGCTCATAAGAAATATAAATTTACCATTTCAGGACTACAACTTACAATGACTGATGTAACAATAGCTTTCACTTCCCCCTTATGTGCCATGGTCAACTCCCCAAATCTCTTTGATATGGTTTCAAGGTTCCTTAGCCTCCCATTCTGAGCCAAGACAACTAATAGAAAAACCACAGAAGCATGAATAAATAAAATAATATATATGTATGTAGATACATTTATATATATATATATATATATAGAGAGAGAGAGAGAGAGAGATGAGGGGACGAGAATTCAGATATAAAAACATGTCGACTCTGCATTTCAGCTAAAACACGGGAAAATAAGCAACCATGAGAAAATTACAATGAAAACAAAGGTTAAAGTTGAGTAAAGATCAAAGAGAAAAAAATTTAATTTGATGAACATGCATGCATACACAATAGAATACTTCAGCGAAGACAATTGTTAAGGCTATAATGACAACAGTACATTGCACATACGCATGTCAAAATCTTACTAAAATAGCTTTCAAGTTTTTAGTGTTCATATAAAATGCAGATAATTATACTTACCGAAGTTCAACTAAATATGAACAAGTTCTATGTGTGGCTACAGGTGATAATGATAGCAACAACATGAACAACAATGATAATAATTATGATAACAACAAATAACAATCTTTAAAAGTGTAACACAAGATGTTTTATTCTCTCAAGAGTCAAGTAGAAACAATTTACAAAAATCAAAAACCCAAACTCATTTTACAGCTGCTAATACATCCATTGCGTATTCATAATACATGCATGTCTAAAAATATCCCACTTCATTGGTGATTGTAAAAATCAATTTTCTCTGTCAGATTCCTTCAAATCAGCTCAACCAAAGCCAGCTTACTTGTGGTTGATTAGTAAACCTTCAACCAATTACTTCAGATAGAAAACAATTGCCCACGCAAATGAATAAAGAAAAGAAAATGAAATGCAGTTAGAGTTTTGAGGTTTAGAACTACCTAGGATTTGGGTTTGAGGCTGCCAAAAGAGGATAATGATTTGGGATTAGGCTCTATTGTTTTTTACTTTCCATTGGGAGGGAGCACATCTGACTTTCCTTTTGATTGGTCTGATGCTCTCTCTTAAAAGTTCTAAAGAATCCAGGCCAAACCAGACGTTTGGCCTTAGGGGTTTTAAAACAAAGAAGTTTCCCAAGAGGGATGCAACTTGTGCGGAACAGCGCATCTGAGTGCTTAAAAGAACGCATTATGACAGTAATGTTAGCAACGGATGCCAGTTCTTTAGCAACTTCCACTGTCACTGCTGCAAAGGATAACACTATACCAGAAAAGTAGGGTTTGCCTCAATTGTCTGAAAATTTCTAATTTGTCTGGCATAGCTACATACATAAAAAAAAATGTGCTGGGTCCAAGAGCCGTCTCCTCCTCCCATTCCTGAACAAACTAACTCTATTAACCACAATCAGTATACTTTCCCTTTCTTTTGGCATAACCCAATTAAAATACACAAAACCCAGAGTTAACAGGTGGTCGTTTTGTTTCGACAGTAGTACAGTGATGCAATTTTCACAAAACAGCACACAGATAGATGAAATTTCCAGAGCAAGTAAAATTCATCACTGCTGATATCAGAATACAAATAAAGGCAAAAAAAACATGAAACATACATAAGAATACATCACAATTTTTAGCTAGAATGAGACAATAATCATACCCAAAAAGTTCTTTGTAATTTCTGAAAATTTAGCTTCAGCAGCAATTTGATCGATTGCCTTCACTCTAGTATCTGCTGGTACTGACAAATCCCTTGTGAACTGAGAAAAGGTAGGACTTTTCTTCGTAGCCTCAACAATGGCAAAAATCTCAGACTCAACCTTCTCCAAAGCATTAGCTTTTACTGCAGCAATGTACAAAGCAGAGGCATAGTTCCCAGAACCCCCAAACAAAACCAATGGCACCTGGCATACCATGGCAGAGCAAATCAATACAGACCTAATTAGTATAAGCGAATTCGGATACAGTACGCGTGACGCTTCACACAATTTAGCTACAAGTCTATAAATCTTAATGTACTTCGTAAGAAATTACAATAATGTATTTTTTTTCTAAGCCCCATTATAACTACGTGACATCCTAATCGTTTTTTTTAATTATGCATAAATCAATATAACATACATTATTAAAAATATAGTCAGAACTATGAAGTCCGTCAACACAGTAAAACGGGCAACATATGATTGATTCCAATGCAAAATTCAAAAGCACCAATCCAGTTTCAGTGAAGCATGAGAAACAGAGAGTAATGACAGCTACAATCAACCCAGAATTAATTCATTATTTGATGCAAGACAAAAGATATAAACTGAAAAAAAGAAATGTTCAAGCCCGTGTACAATAATAAGCGCACTACATGCTTGCCAAGAAAATGTTTATCTTTTAAATGAAAACCGTGAATTACCTGAACCTTCACTTCCTTCTTCCCTTGCGTGGTAGAAAAGTTCCTGGATGGCTACAGATACAAATGCGAAACAATTAATCCACATTCTGCAAATTCGACTAAACTTCATATAACGGCCTCGTAAAGCTTATTTTCTCAAACCTTTAAGAAAAACACACGCACAGATACACACTGTATATACTGCTAAAGCTGGTTTGGTTGAAAACAATGTGAAAGCAACAAATTAATTAAATATTAATCAGAAATTTTCATACTTTAAAATTCCTAACGATCCTAATCAAAATTTTTGTCCCAGTAACACACATTTTTCATTATCTAGAAACAAAATACGAATACATATTTATAATCAAAACTAATTAATAAATTAATCAATAAAAATCCTATCTTTTGGGGGAAAATGAATCGGAGAAAGCAAGCAAATTAGATCAGAAAACCAAAACGACGATAACTGTTCTCGTTTTATCCGTTCTATGCATTTCTGCGAATTTGAAATCTCAGTACCTCAGAATTGATGAAAGTAGGGCAAAGCACGGAGCGGTGAGCGATGGATCCGTTGGCGGCGGCGGAGACCGAATCCGATTTGAGAATCTTGGTGACCAAAGGGAGGCTCGATCGGATTCGAGTAGCAAATGCCATTGTTAATAAGCCCTAATTTTTGTTTTTCCGTCTGACTTTCTCTCTCGCGCAGTTGTCTGTACTTTCTGCTGCTTCGCCAACACCGGCTTCGAAAATTGATAACTTCTAAAGAGAAGGTAGTAAATGGTAATTTGACATCCAGCGAGAAGGCAACATTATATATCATTCCCTAGTGGCACTGATTTTTTGTGCTACTGTGACTGAGCGTGACACGTGTGGGCCAAGCGAATCGATAAGGGCAAAAAGAAGTAATTTTAACGAAAAACTTCTGTTTATTTTAACGAAAAATCATATTTTTACACTAAAAAGTAAATTTTGGTACTATTTATTTTACCTTTTATTTTATCATTTTCGTTAAAACTAAAAGTTCATTTTCATTAGTTTTTTTCAAAAAGAAATGTCGTGTAGCTCTTTATGAACTCTGGCAATTTTATTTTTTGTACAATATTGTTGACACGAAAATGGACATTAAACTATAAATGGAAATAAGAAAACTATAAAAAGTTCCATTTTTAGAAAGTCTCCTTAGTGTTTCTCAAGGTTAGTTACTTTTTGGTACCTATGGCTTGCTCTTTGGTTATTTTTTTTTCACCAATTTAGTGCCATTATCTTTCGAAATTCGCTCTATCAAGAGCAGTCATTAGTTCACCCGTCATTAAGCTCTCTGCTTGTTCTAGTAACAATGGAGCTTCTTGCACTAAATACGAAAATACTTTTTAGAATTCACTTGCACTTATTAAAGATTAGTATCAAGAGCATTTTTTAGTTATTTTAAAAGCACTTACAAACATCTTCGGATCACTTGGAAAATATATTTTTGAAAAACTGATATTAAAATAAATAATACTCTAATCTGCGCTCCAATTATAAAATTTGAACTCAGGTGCAAAGAGTGCTTCGTATATTAAAAAAGAATCGTTTATAATGGAGGTATGAGCTGCTTCACCTGCACACAATAATCTGGACAGGCTCGCTACTGCACAAAACCTTTTCCCAAAAGTTCGGAAAGAAAAAATTATAGAGCACAAAGATGCGAAAAACATAAGAGACTCATTGGCAAATTCACAAATTGTACCACATTGCAGACACTACGTTCACTCGACAAACGTTCACGCTCAGATAAATCGTGCTTTCTCCGCTCTTACATCGTCCTTGTTCAAGTGCTGTACCTGACATGGGGAGATAGAGAAGAAAGAGAGAAGAATTCAAATACTGAAGTTGGGACGATGGCGAACTGATGACAGAAGGATGGTCTGTTCATGCAATATGTACATACCTCTAAGAGTCTTCTAATACTTGATCTTCCACATTACCGAGGAATGTGATCTGTCGACTGCATACCTTAGTTGAGAAGACACAGACCCCGATATTGTATGCTTTAACAACTTAGACACCAACAGCGAGATCAACTCCTTATGTCGCGATTGCTTTCTCTTCAGCACTTGGATATAAGCATATAAACCAAGCCATTCAACCTCTCCCTTTTCCAGTAGAAGAATTGGGTGGAAATCAGTATGCACAGAACGCATCCTTCTCTTTATGAGCACATGCATATACCTAAAATCAATATAACAAAAACAACATAACTCCAAGAAAGAGAAATAGAAATGTCGTAATACTTGAACATTTTGGATTTCAGATAAAGGGAAATCCAGTAGCTAAACTTTAATGTATCAAAATAAAAAATGATGACTAAATTTTAACTATCATATTCATATATGCAGAAAACTGCATGTTATTGCTGAAATAATTACAAAAGATAAAAGACAATGGAACAGAAGAATACCTCAAAGATCTCTTGATAATGTTAGCATAAGATCTAGGGCGAAGTTTCCAGACGTATGATAAGTCACGAACATAACAATGGAACTTCATTGCACATAACAAGAATGCTTGGTAGATATTTAATCTCACAACAGATGCTGAATTGATGTTGGAATCAAAGAATATTGGATGGCATTTAGGTTTCATATAGTCACACAATTTTTTCTTCAAATGACGACCTGGTTGGTCTTCCCAGCTGACAGTAAGAGTGGAACGTAGATGGTTGTTCCAGTACCTGATAAAGAGATGAAACAAGTTACTCAAAACACTTAAGTAACGCAGAGCATGAATGATATTTGTTTTCACAGATACTTGATCATAGTGTTGTACAATTACAAAGGCCTCAACCATACCAAGCATCTAGCAGACACGCATCACGCTTGTATAACATGTATCACGATTCGCACTTGTACAAAGTGTTATTCAAAAAGACATTCCTTTGGTGGACTATAACATGAATAATTTGACCGCTTCAGCAGTGCATGAATTTAGTTTTAAGAAATTGTGGAATTTATTATTGACCTCAATAAACTCAAAAAGTAAAATAAGTCATGGAAATTAACTTTGTGTAGTCGGCCTGAACTTCAAGAGTGCAAGAATTAAGAAGCAAGCCACTCCATCGAATGAATGAGATGCCATCTTCGCCAAGATACACCCTGCTTGATGGTATCCCAGGCATGTGTTGAATATCGAAATTCACACAGAACTTCTTTTCATTCATGTAACAGTTATAATCCCGAAATCCTCTTTGCAACCTGGTGAAGAAGCCAGCAGCCTGATTCCTTGAGGTTGAGATGAAAAGAAAGTCATCAATAAATCTTAGTAGAATATAAGTAGAGGATGAGGCAATGCCATCCTCATTAGCACTCTGTGCAGCAGAAGCATCTCCAAAATTATGTCCTCTTGATGAATCTATTGTCGCGGGTTCCCAAATTTTTTCAAGAAACGGAAAGATCACATTCCTATCCAAATGTCCATAGTATAATGAACAAAGCAAAGAAGACAAAACACTTCCTTGAGGAATACCTACACCTTGCAGATAAAACTTTTTATCCAACTGCAGCACATTGCGCTTGACATGTTGATATAGAATAAAAAAGAGCTCCTCCTTCTTCATAGACCTGCTATATTCCTAAGCATTAGAAAATAAAACTATCAGCTAAAGTACTTCAATCTATAAAGATTAAAGAAAAAGAAAGGGATAATAATGCAAAGTTGCTCAAGAAATTTTAAGCAAGTACACAAATTTTCATCCCGTGCCCCATGATCAACATAGATGGGACCTTCAAGGTTGCAAAGTTAAAAGCTACTGAATTTGAAACAAATTAGCACCAAGAACCTTATGCTCAATGTTTTGAATACTACTTCCTTTGATATTGAACAACTTATTTTCTTTTACATAAGCGAGATGGATGGCTTCAAGATGAATAAGTTCATAAATGTACAAAATACTGAGTACAGTCTCATAGAAAAGAGTGGAAAAATTGTAACATATTCCACAGAAACAAAATTAGTTCACAAAATATAGCTGGACAATTTTTCATAAATACACAAAAATACCTGATTAACATGGACACTTTGCAATGATCGGTGTAAGGCAGAAGATTTAAACCTCAAGCTGGCATGTTGATCCAATAATGCAGGATTCTCACGAACCCATAAAAATTCTTTTGTGCAAAGAACTTCATAAGAATGTTTTAGAAAATATTCATCCGTTCTTATGGCATCTTTCATCACACAAAGCAGCTTATCCTGGTCAACAGTATCATAGGCTTTGGACACATCAGAAACAACAATAAATACATCAGGCATCATTGTTGGTACATTCTTTAAACCCATCACAAATGGGCATAACTTTCGGTAGACATCATTGTAATCAAAAACTGATGAACCTAACTTCTCTGGCTCCTTCAACCGTATAGCTTTTAGAACAGCATGCGTATCACGAAGAACGCTATTGACAGACTTGAAATATTCAAATTTGACCCCTTTCTGAAGACTTTTTTTCCTTCTTACTATGCCACTGGACTGCTCTGCCAAACTGAACTCCTTTCGTGGCATTTTTGATGATGCTTTTAAATTTGCTAGCAACCGCACTCCACACTCTTTTGGACAAATCCGAAGCTTTGAAAAACCAAATAATCTTTTTCTTATAATCCTTCTAGTTGTTGCATCATCCAAGTAATAATACCTCTGATCTTTCATGCAACTGATAGTCTTATTCTTCACCTTCTCCCAAACTGACTTTTGATAGTAATATACATCTTGCCTCCCGTGCTCACTTTCGGTGACGTAGAAGTTGGCTTGCAACAAAGGGACAATTATGGATGAAAAGAACCAATAAATCCAGCTTTTCAAGACTTTTTGTTTAACAATATGTGCAGCATCATTCAATTTAGGGAATCCTTTATGAATGTCTAATCCTTTTCCACCCACGTCTTTTACTGCCTCACTATTCATGCCGCAGAAATACTGTTTATTTGATAGAAATGGGAACCTAGATGTTTTCAGTTTATGCATACATTGCTGTAAAGAAAAATTTTCAAATCTTCTAAGATGTATGAACTTGGAAATATTTCTCCTCAATATTCTCCAATTAGAAGCAGTTCCTAGCAAATCTGAAGGAATGATTCTCCTACAAACAGCCCATATAAACGAGACCACCTGACTTTTCAAGCAATAAGACTTAATAGCCTCGGAGTGAGAATCAGTGGCATCTGGAGATGAAACACCACAATGCTTGTCCAATAATCTCAAACTATGGCAATGTTGAGCTCTGCGTATGAGAGTCTTAAGCAACTTAACAAGGGAATGATACCTGAAAAACATAAGCCACCACTTATTGTTCATATACAAACCACAACACACAAGCACACACAGGAACCCAACATAAAACAGAGATAAGAAAATGGCTAGAAGACAGGGATTAAAGACCTAACTTGAGCACAATTAATAATTACTCCTGGTCTCCACAACACACACACCCACAGCAGAAATGCAAAAATAAAAACATATAAACAAAGAACTTTAAAAGGATGTAAGATATCATGACCATAGCAATTCAAATAATCATTTCCCCATATCGTTTGGCATAACATTTCAGTTTTTGTGCTCCTAGATACAAAACCCAAATAATTGTCGGCAACATATCTATACATAGTCTGGTCCCATCCAGTACAGAACCTATCAACACAAAGTAGCAAATACTCTTTCACTTCCCCCGATGGTATCATTTTGTTAAAGCAATGCCAAAAAAGACCTTTTTCATATGATTATCCTATGGAAAGGCCAATTTTTTAATATACAGAATATTACACCACGTGCTTAAAAATCTAGTGGATTAATAACAATATTTAATACACTTACTGCTGGCTATTAACCAGATTCCTTATAAAAAAAATCTTGTTGAAAGATAGTAAGATACCACTCTGTACTTCCAACGCTAAAACACACTAGGTAGGGTCAAAAATAAAAATAAAAGCAAAACCATTCAGTATTCCAGAACACCACCATAATATTATCAAGAATAATGAGAAGCTTACAGGCATGCTGATCCAGTGAGACAAAGACCACTTTCACGAGGACATATCTTTGACATAGCACTTTCTGTGTCGGATATGCCAAAAATACTCTTAACAAGAAATTCTGAACCAACAGAATTTGGCTTTAGAGAATTCAGAACATCTGAAGATCATTAAGTGTTATACATTGGTTATCATTTAAAAAATAGAAAAGAAAAACCCCAAGTTTCTTCGGGAAAAATCTTGTAACAGAATAAAGGAAAAAGACAAGACAGCACCATACATGATAGAAAATCATCATTTTCAGGGAAATCAAACATTAGAAAGTCATTACTGCACGAACCGTTGCTGCTCGTAAAATATACTAGATGATAAGGCAAATTTCTATTCATACAATTTATTGCTGCTTGACAAGATTAGCAAATCCAAAGATATACACATAGATTTCTTATCACTTGGTCTCCATTGACCATGGTCATCAATTGTCACGTCAACATTGGTGTGTTCAAATTCCAATAAAATATCATTGGATTTTGATCAAACAGTTGGTCGCCATAATTTTTTTTGGACAATGGTAATCAAGAGATCAGAACTGTGTATTTCAGTATGTATATACATATACACACAAGTACAAAAGGATACGTTTTCTTGGGAAAACTGATGAAGACTGTTCCAAGTTAAAGAACATGAATTTTCTGTCAATTTGAGCACCTTTGGCAACCTTTCGCAGAATGCGTAACCCCAAACAAGAGCACTGCCAAAGAAAACAAAAATTAAAAAGAAACCACTAAGAAAATTACATGAGAAGGGAAATAACCAGAAAAGAAATTTGACCAAGCTTATAAGCCTCTTCAACATTTTGGACCTTTCATTTTTTATTGAATGATATTGGAGAAGGGAGGATTCCAACATTTTAGACAAAGTCTGAATGAGAAAACTGTCCGGTTTACCCATGAACCTTTTTATGATGATGAACTGAGCAATATGAAAGCCTGCTAGATAAGCTTTCTTTATCACCGATAATTGTTTTGGAAAGATCCTGAAAGCTGGTTTCTTGAGAAGGTAATAGCCTACGCTTCTTGCGGCGCTGCCAACTAAATGGTCTTGCACGCTTTTTAAGCCTTTGGGAACCCTGTTCAAGTTCCTTGTTTAAATCACCTTCATAACTGTCGGTAAACGTGCTGGTTCCATTATGACTATGCTTATCCTTACAAACACTGCAGCAGCCACTGCAGGCAGCAGAACCAATGGTTTTATCACTGCTAAAAGAACTAAGGTGCTGTCTCTTCAACAATGAGTGTACATTATCTTCTCTTTCCCTCTTTTTCCGGGGTCCTGAGATAAAGTTGCAAATCCAATCACCAAGTTGTGGTATTTTATCACCTTTTTAAGGGATGGCGTTAGAGTGAACAACCAAAACAATCAGAGACAAGGAGAGATTACACGAAACAAGTGACTCCATTTGGACACACTACAAATCAACATGCACAAAGAAACACTCTGAGCCCAAACATGCCAAGAAAGATCAGGCATTGTCAATGCCCTAAATTACATTGAGGGATAACTAAGATCTGTGATCGTATAGTGACATGTTAAAAGATAAGAAATTTATTTTATATCGTAGTCATTATTCACGTCTGTGTGTCTAGAGTTGTAGTGTTCATTCATTCTTGAGATAGCTGTTTAAGCTGTCTACTAACCAATTGATTTGTACTTCAATATCATGAGCAGACCAAGAAATAAGAAATTAACACACATGAAAGCTCAAAACCAATGACATGCTGCACAAATTTGATCGTACTTTCATCTAAATACAAGGGGTAACTGTACACACACAAACTATACTTATCTCCAGATAATAGAAGCTAGGTCACATTTTTCAGTACTTCCCAACATAGTACATTACAATAGAAGCTAATGATTACCATACGACTCAGGCAATGACTGTTGCCACTGTGGCTGTGGCGCGCGCTTCAACTTCTTCGGACACAACTTACTGATTGGCGGGCCTATGACCTGCTGGTGGTTTGTACGCAGAAGTGGCAAAAATATCGATGCATTCCTTAGTAAATAAACCATAATGCCATCCCCAACCTGTCACGCAAAAGTTTTATCCTTTATTAGTTTTAGAATCCATACATAAACTTTCCGCACATCATTAATCGCAACTAATCAAAGCGGTTACACGATCATACCCTTTCTAAGAGAAGACACCAAGCCGACGAAGTTAGAAGCTCCACAATGCCGCTTGACTGATTAGACTGCCAAAATATATACAAAACAAGAAATACATTTTTTTAAACCGAGTGTATAATTACATTCCATATAATTAAAATAAATGGTAGAAAAAAGAAGGAGAATTTACCTTATCATAACCACTGTATATCACGTTGGAAGACACAGGTTGCTCAACCATCATCGCTTCAATCACTGCTCTAACAATCTGGCCACAAAAACATGCAATATTTACATAAATAAACAAATTACAACAACCTAATGAACCCTAAATACATATACACACTGTGTTCTAGTTGTAATTTGTAACACACAGGGGATACGGTCTTCCTCTTCAACTCATTGCGTCCCAGTTCAAACCACCCCTCTCTCATTTGTGATATCGCTTGTAATCCATATATGTGCATATAACTAAATACACACACGTATATAACATATATACATAAACTAAGAATGTGTAAGGTTATAAATTACCTCAATTGGGACCAGTGAGAGTCGGGGGAAAAGCGGGCGACCGCAGGTGTATTTTTCGCAAAGACGACGTATCCATGGTTGAGGAGATGGCGGTAATCGGAGGGGTCGTCGGGTCGGAGGAGAAACGACAAGCCGTCAGGTGCGGTGCAGCTGAGGCAACGGCGGCCCTTGCAGAAACGACAGTCGGCGGGGACTGACGACGACGAATGGGGAGGGAGCAAGGAGACGATGGTGTCGGACAATGTTCGCGCCCGTTTGCCGAATAGTCTACGGAGGACCTCCGGAACGCAGCGTTTCCTTCGCATTTTCTTCCGCATTATCGGGACAACGGACAGTGGAGTGGACTGGATTGGAAGGGACGGGACTGTGAAGAGAGACGAGAAGGACGAATAGTCTTTCCGAATTTTATAAAGGCAATAAAAGTGCGCCTTTTTCAGTTCCAAAATATAATTGTGTTGTAAAATCGACGATGTGTGTATATTGAAATAAATAAAACAAGACACAAAATTTACGAGGTTCCTCTACAGTTAGTGTGACTGGATTACGTCATCGGCCAGCATTAATGCTTTCAGTATAATTTGGAATAATAGGAGTACAAAGATAACTCTATGTATTCTCTCTTCTCCTCTTCCTCTCTCTCTCTTCCCTCATCTCTTTCTCTCTGGGCTCTGTATGTATTGATAGTAGTCGGAGTGCTCTATTTATAGAGCAACTTCGTATTATTATCTTTTGAATAATTACACCACACCTTTGACAAATGATCTCCACATATCAATATTCTGCCAAGGTTTTCAATGCTGTGGCAATGTTTTCAATGTTATGGCAAGGTCTTCAATACTGTGGACATTCATTACCCACTAGTATTTTCAACAAATTGCGCTTTTTTGTTAGAAATTTCAAGTTAATTACAATAATTTTGCCTGTCCTTAACTGAAAAAATATTTGATTCTCGTCAAATACGAAATTAAATCACATTATTACTAATTTATCGTAGGATTTAATCAAACAATTTTATGGTAGATAAATTTTTTTGTTGGGCCGGCTTATTTGATCATCGGGTTTTGGGTTGTTCCTAAAGGTATCGTTTAGTATGCAGACGGGACGGGACGGGACGGAACGGAATGGGACGGGACAGGACGGAACGGAACTGAACGGGAGCAAAGATGCCCTCGAATGGAAACAAGGAGGAAGAAGAAGAAGACGGAGAGGTTATAATTTTGTGTTCCACGGATGTGGAACGAGTCGTTCTAGGGGATGAGGTGGAACGAAAATTCACTCAAAACTCGTCCCGTGGAACAGCTCGTTCCACCCATTTTAGGCGCACCAAACGTGGGACGGAAGACCTTGTCCCACTCTGTTCCATCCCGTCCCACGTACCAAACGGACCTATCAGATCTAACTTAATTTGTGCGGGTGGTGCAGATTGGTCCTACGGCAACCACTATGGCGGATTGGGACCCTACAAAGGCCCCAAAACAGTGCTTGTGAAGGTTCTTTGGAGATTCATTTGTGTATCTATCAAGTATTTGATTAAATGTTTTCTGAGAATATATCAGCATTATTTTTGCTGGACATGTCGACAATATTCGGTGATTGCCTTGGCATTAACAATATGAATGCATATGACGATAAGCCCACCGAGTGCACAAGATCACATAAAAAAAATTCTGCTACGCGCACAGTTTCCTTCTAAATAAAACTTGATATTTTACATTAGGATTTTCCAAAACTAAAATCTTAGATCCACATACTACAACTGCAATGGTTGACTTTGTAAGTTTATCCTAATAAAGAGTGTGTGGTTGGAAATGTCTTTTGCATTGGGAACATTTATTTCGAATTTCAAGTTAACAAGTTTATAGGCTTCCATGATTGGGCTGGCTCATTTAATCATGAGATTGTGGGTCGTTACCGGTCGGATGCCATAATTTGTGCATGTGGTGCGGATTGGGTCCAATGGCGACCACCGTGGTTGGATCCACATAGTAACCTGGGTGGTCCTAAGATTTTCGAAGGCCAGAAAAATATTTCAGGAGGTTTTTCGAGAATCTTTTGAATGTTTGATAGAATGATACAGATATTTTGTGTTCATCAAGTGTTTGATGAAATGCCCTTTAGAAATATATCAAGGCATTTTAATTGTAGGACGTGTTTACAACACTTTACATGGGGTCTCGACATCATGGGGTGGATTGGCATTTGTCAATACGAACACTTGTGATAATAGGCCCACCAAATGCTCGAGAAATTTTCTCACTAAATATATTTTTCACAATATGTCATTCTACCTTTCCAAAAAAAACAAAAAACAAAAAAAAACAAAAGTGCGTCTATATAAAATTTGATGTCTTACATTGGAACCCAAGATTAGAATTCTGGATCCATCATATTGCAACTGCTGACTTTGTAGTCTATCCTAATAAGAATATATGTAGTTCGAAGTTTGTTTTGCATTGATGGTGTTTGATTTAACAAAGTATTACCGATTATGTATTGATTGTGGCTTAATTGGGATTCTCTAACTATTACATTAAAGTGATTCTCTGCATATCATTTCAATTGTCTCGGCAACTACTAGTCTGCTTTTCTAGCCTTCGAACGCCAAAAGGCCACATGGAAAGTTGAAAACTTTCGTGCCACAAAACCGTCTTCAAGAATCTAGAAGCATCCCAATTTTATGATGATCTAGCAACTTGGTGCATAATCTCATACGAGATGACAAATTATAAGCAGAATATATTGCTCTTAAATTAAGCCACAACACCATTATATACATTTTGTTCAATTCCCTTAATATGGCAGATTTTTCCTAGCTTGAATTTGTGGCTAGTGTTATTTAAACATACTAAAAGTATAGTATTTAGGAAAGTAATGATAAGGTCAGACATGTTCTATACAAGTTTGAAGTGATCTTCAAAATGTGTCACGAGGTTTTAATTTTCTCACATTGCATTATGACATTTTGAAATCCTAAACTGGCCATAAACGTGCTGGAGAGTGACTTTTTACTAGCCATAAACGTGCTCAAGAACCACCAATCGGCTCATTTACATGTTGCTTTGGCCTTCCTTTCTATTGAGTACTTAAATGTTCCTAGAGTTTGTAACGAGATTGCTCATAGACTAGCAAAGTTTGCCCTTTCAATTGGCAAAGAAACAGTTTGGTTTGAGGAACCACCTGGTTTTATAGAGAACCTCCTCATTCAAGAGTTGGTGTCAATTTCAAGAAATCCTACCATTTAATGTCTTTAGTCATCTTGATTTTATTATCTTTCATTAAATTGAAGACGTGATAACGACGAGACTATACAGTAGTATTGAAAGTCACACTCACATCACATCACATGGACCAAATTTTTTCATATTCCAAATGGTATAATTGTGCTTCTACATAGCCTGAAAACGAGCCCTACCTCAGCTACATCATCAATTCAGCAAAATAACTTACAATTAAATGGATGAAATGAGTAAATGCATTAGAACTATCATGAGGAATGAAGCCAAAAAATGAAAAATTGCCTTATCCTTGAGGGAAAATAAATGGAAAAAAGCAAAAGATTACGCAAACTCAGTCATAGCTTAGGTCATATTCAACCGAAGGAGGGACAAATGGCTTGTTTTAGCCTTATAGTTCTCAAATAAATTAATATTTTAATGAGCAGTATCAGATCATATTTCATATCATCTCCAACCATCAGGCTAGCTGGCTGGCTGGCTAGAGATGGACAGCCCGCTAGCCTGATTGGTTGGTTTTAGTCCGATGGGGCCCATAAACTCTTTGGCCTAATCCTCAATTAAAGACGATTTTCGTATCATTTCTGACTATTTTCAATCCTATGACCTTAGTTTGAGATGACCTTAATCCTTTCCTCGGCTCGGCCCATTCGAATAATAAAGGGCTGCACAATGCACACCGAGCAGCAAAATATCAATACATCCAGCCAACTACCAGTCAGATTCGGACATTTAATCCACTATTAATTTGCTCTCTCTCTCTCTCGCCCCCAATCTCCACTCTCCACCTTATTCTTTTAATTTCCAGAAACATCGTCTCCAGAACCCTCCTTTTTTGCATCAAAATCTTCAAAACTCAATTGGGTTTCAATCAAAATCCAATCTTTGAGATCATATTTTTGTGGGTTTTGGTTTGACTTGATAGATAGATTGATGATGGTGTTGCAGTTGTTGTTAACAGTTGCCTTCTCTGCGGTGCCTCTGACTCTGTACGTTCCTCCAGTCAGAAGCCTAAACCCCTTCGTGGAGACCATGGAGGAACTCTTCTCCGAATCAAGAAATCACACCAATAGGGTATACCCACGTGTCCGACATCTTTGGTTGAGGATCTTGGATTGTTTACTTTGCAGCAGAACCACAAGGTAGATAATTATATATGTGTATATATTTTTGTGGGTTTTGGTACCATGTAGTCAGCTACTATCACAAACCAATTTCTGAAACATGTTTCAGATTTTGGTTTTTGTCTTTCCTTTTTGTGGTAAATAAGGTCTGAGTGATGGAGAGTTTGATTTTGGTGATTATGGTGGTGGCGTTGTTGGTGTTTTTCCGACCGGATTATATATTTGTGTTGTAAAAATTCAGTCTTGTAATTTCATCATTTCATAAGAATCTTTTCCATGGCAATTTCAGAGGTGATCTGTTTATTGATTTGATGATTTCTTTTTCTTTTGTTTTTTCCTGTCTCTCGTATTTTTAGAGCAACTTACGTGATACTGGTATACCGCTATTTTAGCAGCATATTGTCTACAAACACATGTGAACAAAAACAACATATGTTCTTTTACCATTGGACAGTGGAGGTGCTCCTGTGTCATGTAAGTCCTTAAGTTGTTAGGTATACATGGTATAATCTGGATTTTAGAATCTGGGTTGTCATGGGCAGCTGGGCTCATAGCTTGTTAATAGTCATGATTTGAGTATTAAAATTATGGTTGTGGACTTCATAGCTTTTAAGTTATTAAGAGTTGGATGGTCTTTGTTTGTTGTCATACAACGGATATTGACTATAATACAAGATTGCGTATGTGATTGTTCATAGATTTTTTTGAGGATTAGTCTTCAAAGTTTAGCCCTAAATGTACTGAAATTATAGGACGATAACATAAGAAGAAACAAAGGAACAAAGAGTGAACTTAAGTGGCATTAACTATGATAAATTGATAGTTAGAGAGTTGTCTAAGTTATGAACTGAAGCAGTCCTTTTTTCTAAGATTCAATTAGGAAGATCTGAAGAGGTCTCAAAGCTTGAATCTTTTTCAGATTCGTCTTACTTTTTTGAGTTGAGTCTCTAAAAATCAGAAGAGGTCTCAAGTTCGAATATCCTTCTTATTGATTAAAAAACGACGGATAAGTACAAAATTAATGTTTTCTTGGTGCCTCAATCGTAGGTTTTGTAGCCAAGGACAAAATACAAACAGAACAAAACAAAAAGGGGAGGATGTGAGGTGGCCAGGTGGGTTATGATCTCTTTCTGGATTAGGTTGAGAAGGTTTGGCGGTTTGTCATTGTTGGTTTATGGTTGCCATCTATATTAACTTTGGTTGCTAAAAAAATAAGAACAAGACTTGGCTATTGAAGAATCAGCAAACCCTCCTGCATAAAGCTTATCACAACTTGGACACGTGTTGTGCTGTAATAGGCTTTCAGTAAGAGGGGCTGCTGATTCTTCAGCAGCGAAGTTAAATCCAAAAAATAATAGAAGGTGAAAAAGAAACGAAAGGGAGCCTTAACAAATCATGCCAATGGTTCTGCAAGCATTGGCCATGTGGTCTTAAAACTTATAAGCTTGTAATGTAACGGAGTTTGCAACGTTTTCGCCTTCTCTTTTATTTCTAAAAATTTTACTACACCATAATGTGTTGTACATCAAATTATTCAAACTTTTCAATGTGACGGATGTATCTGTCATTCTTATGGATTACAATGATAATCACTGTTAAATCTTATTTGGCATACGCTAAATAGATTCTAAATATAAAGAAAAAGTCAAATTTGTGGCTTGGAATTTTCTGATTGGAATCAAACAATTTGCTATACCTAAGATCACAAACAATCCGATTAACCAAAAGTCTTAACTCAAGTGACATGCGATCAGTGGAGCAAGGTGTCATGATCTCAAACTATTCGCGAGTCTTAGTTCAAATGACATGCGATTGTGATTTCAAAACTTAAACCATTTGTTTGTTTGTTTGTTTTTTTTTTTTTTTTTAACAAACAATATTTTCTACACTAAAAGAAGGGAGTGGGCTTATCCTCACAATGAGTTAGCAATAATGTGGTTCAAATTCGTTTTTGACGAAAATCGAAATTAAGGTCTCCCACTTATAAGTGAAGAGGAATACTACTAAACCATAATATTAAGTGGCTAAACCATTTATATTTTAGCATATAAATTTATGTAACTCGCTAGATTAGTAACATATTACCTCTTAAACAACCATAGTTGCATGATAGTAACACATCAGAGGGCAGTTCTGAGGTGTTTCAAACCTCTAAACAGTAAAAAATTTCATCAATTAAGGCTATTTTGCCGAGTTCCTTAGAGAGAGTAGTCTGAGTTGTCTCGCACCCCTAGGTATTCTCTACCTACCCACCTGTGTCGGTTTTGGGTATATGTACCCTTTAATTGAAGATCGTTGGGGTTTTTTTTTTTCTGGGAGTATGGCAGGAGTGAACTTTAGCGCCATGGCCCCTGGTACTCGAACATTGGTTTGAGATATTTTCTCTACCCCTTCTTACCCTAAAAATCAGAGGCAACCCGCGTATTACATTTAGTTTGCTACATGTACAAATTTCGAAACTTGAAACTACATGGACCAAAATTATAATTTGGCCTTCAGCAAACGAAGAGAAAAACTGAAACACGGTCATAACAAAAGGCCTACGGAGTATGAAACTCAATGGTAAAAATCGAAATTTTATTCATCGGAACTGAGCTCAGTACCATTATTGTGTGGGTCTGTTCAGTACATTACAGTTTTATTTACCAACTATAGAGTTGTCTGAAGAAAACTAAAACTACAGACCATATGAGGGCGAAAGAATTAAGGAATGGTAAGAAAGCCAAGAGAATAAGAAAAAGAATCAAAAGAATGAAACAATGGATGTGAAATGTTGATCAATGTTTTAGGTGGAAGGTGTTGTGCAAGGTTTTAGAAACCAGAAAACGTCGAGGGCTCTAGCTTCTCTTCCATCAACTAGACAAACGTTTTTGCCTTTCTCTGCGGAATCGTCCTTGCTCGCCACTACCTTTTTGTTTTGCTCTGCCTCTCCAAGAATTCCCCTTTCCTGGTCATCATGCAGAAAAAACAGATCAGAAAAATTAACTGACAATGATTGATATTAGCACAAATCAAGTCTATGAAGGGATCTTAGTTCGAGTGGCAAATTGAGTCATGTACAAAATCGCTTGGATTTAGTTTAGTCATAGCACCGTAACATGATATGGAGGTGATAAGGAAGTCTGAAATGCGTAAGGCCTCATCTGGTATAGATCATACGATTGGAATGGATAACCAATTCACGGCATATTGAAGGTAGAGGAGAACGATTTTTTTCTTTCGTTTTTGAGAGGATTAGACATGAAGGAATATTCTTCCTTCTAATCCTACCATTTTGGGGAGGATCGGTACCTCCAAGTTAGTCACAATTATTTCACTTCTTCCTTCAACATACCTTAAACATAGTGTCTTATCCATTCCAATCCAGTCCCCTATTTCAAACGAGCCAAAATCTTGAGCAAATTATATATGGGCATAGGATTGGAATAGAAATAAGCTGACTGAAATTCGAGTTTATCATTTCAACTAAGATGGCTATGCAAACCAATAAGACCAACTTTGTAACTGTACTATCAAGCTTGAGTTGCAAGAAAGACTCAGATATCTCAGTCAAGTGACTTAACGGATAAAAAATAATACGAATAAGGAGAAGGATGCAGCTAGTTACTTACCATCAGCTTGGACTTGGAAGCTTGTGAAGGTGTGATTTTGCTAGGATGCCTTGTTGTAGAAAAGCATTGAGGAGAAGGAGGGTTGGTCCGGATTTGCAACAAGCTCTCGCCCCCTTTGCGCTTAACATTCTCTAAACTTAGAGGGATTGGGACGTTCTCTGCCTCGTCATCTCTTCTGCAGAAGGTGGTCATCAAAAGTTAACCTTATGTATCCAATCATCAAAGCCAGAAAGTTTCAAGATTCATGGAGGTAATTTGTTATCAACCAGATCAGATGATCATAATTTAAACTGCATCAAACGTTTTACCATAACAAGTGAAGAAGAAAATGTTTATACCATAAAAAACAGATACAAACACACAATTACATACAGCGAAGGATAGAAAGTGCACACAAATATAGAGGATTGCATTACAAACAAATATATAGAGAAAAAGATTAAACTTACCTTTTCCTCCTTGGCTTCTCCAAATTGCTCCCCTCCATTCCTTCAGTGTTCATTTTGCTCACCTCAAGCAATGGCGTTCTCTTCGTTTGCCTCTCATTTTTCCCTTTATTAATCTCCAGCAATGGAGTTCTCTCCGTTTGCCTCTCAGTTTTCCCTTATCCACCTCAAACAGCGGCATTCTCTCTGTTTCCCTCCCTTTCAACTCCCCAAAAACCTCACGGTTACACACCTCCTCCTCCTTCACTACCTCTTCCTTCAAGCCCGCTGGGCTTTTCCTCACATCCGAATTCTCCACATCCTCTCCCTCCCTCACTCTCATAGCCATTCTCTTCAATTCAGAACAGAAGTCTGTAATCTGATTCAGAAGATCCCTCCCCGCAAATAAATTCCTCGCTGACAGCGTGCTTCTCAGCTTAGGAAGCACCTCATCGTTCGGCAGGGTGCTCTCAATTGGTTGCTTCTTCTCTGTGCTTGATTTGATTGTTGCCTTCATGGACTTAGCTTGGTTCATTGGAGGGGTTGATACATTGGGGTTCTGATTTTCACTATCTTCCTTGAATCTTGAATTATTAGTCGGGTAAATCGAAGATTGATTCAACCCTCTTCTCTTCAGTTTCACATCTCTGAATTACAAACGAAATGGTTAAATTCTGCGAAACCGGATTAAATTGTATTGTGAAAACAAGGGTTCATGGGTTTTGCTTTTTACCTCTGGACTTTATCACCAAGTGGAGAAACTTCAGGAACAACAGCTGGGCTCGGAACCTTTCCCAAATGGACAAACAAAGAAATTAGAAACTTTGAAAGAATAAAAAGAAGTGAATTATACAAAATCTATGCTGGGGTAGCTCCAAAATGCGAGGAAAATAAAGACGCAAGCGAAATTAGATCTTATGCCGAATACCAAAGAATCAAAATGTCAAATTTTCAATCTTTCCCATCACATTTTCTTAGCAACCAAGCAGATTAACACGAAAAAAAATAAAATTAAACAAAATCAGAAAACCAACCAAAAAGAAAGAAAGACTGGAAAAGGAGAAACCTTGGGAGGTGATGACTTGAGAAAATCTTCAGCCGTCTTCGGATGCTTGCATCCTGCAACAGAAAAATAATCCAAGAAAATATCTAGTCAGTCAAAATTAGAAAAGAAAAAAGAAGGGGTTGAAGTATAATTTGAGAAGGATTAAGGTACCGGGTCGGCAAAACCAGGCCTGATCGTCGACGGAATTATCATTGGGGTTCAAGAAATCGAACCACTTGGGCGCGTTTATTTGCTCGTAGTATTTGTCCTCTATGAATCTCCACTCTAAACTTTTCCAATCGATTTTTGCTGGTTCCATAAATCTCACAGACAAAATCCCAGAAAGAAAGCGAGCTGTACAACAACCAGCTCAATGGGGCAAAAGAGAGAGAGAGAGAGATTGGTGGGTTTTGGAGCTGAAGAGGCGGACAGTGGAAGAAGAAGAAGTAACCGTTACAGGAGAAATAGTGAACGTTGGTGGGCTCAATGGGGTTTTACTAAATTATCGACCGTTGGAGATTGATTAATAGATTAATTATTGGGGTCGTGGCTTAGTCAGTATGATTGCCAGCTTTGGATGCTTTGTGCTGGGAACACGGTCATGAACTAATACAAAATTCGTTGATTTTTTTTTTCCAAATTTTTAATCAATTATATTAGTATACTTTATATATCCGGTCATATTCTTAATATACTGAAAAATCTCTTGCATTTCAAAGGTACATGTGGCTTTAAATTTGATAATCTTGTAAAGCTTTATAAGATTTGCTTGATGTATCACTATTTTAGGACAATATTATCTAGGGATGTGCTATTCATACACTTTATTTTACTTCTTACAAACCCTTGATAATTTCTGTTCGTTAATCTTTTTCAATTCATCCGATCGACGGCCAAAAATTAAAAAGATGTATGAGAAGTAAAATGGAGTGTGTGAATATCACACCCCTATTAACTATACTATGTGGGAGACATCTTTGAGGGAAACATAATTGAAGCTTCCATTAATTATATACTTTTATAAACATTCATGATTTTATATTTTAAACCAATATTTTCACCAATATCTCTATACATTTATCAACATTTCTCAAAAATTTAGACTACTGGTATATCTACCAAACTGAACAAAAATTTTAGGGTGCCAGTAGCTTTCTTTTTTCTCTTCTAGTCAGTTTCTGCTTATTAAGATTTTTATGTCAAATGAAAAAACACAACACCCTTAATATATAAATGGATCGAATCAGTACCAAATCATCAACTTCACTGAACCCAAAAGTGAATTTGATAATCACAAACAAGATCTGATCCACCTCAGTCTCCTCAAGTCAAGTCCCCCATCAATTAGCCAAGTATTAAAATTGACATGAATCTGATATAACAACAATTTCAAGAACACAAGCTGAAATAAACCGAAGCATGCCTCGAGCTTCGACACGAATAAGTGATTTTACGCACAATATAAATTTGTCTGCCGATTTGCAAGAAGCTAAAAGAGTGGCTAAAAGGTGCACTTTTTGACAATCTCTAATCTGAATCTTATATTCACTTATAGGAGGTTGAATTATAGGGTTTGTTTTCTCTAGTACTTCACCGGAGCGCGTTAAACGAAAAGAGAAGGGGCTTGTTTTCTCGACTACTTCACCAGAGCGTGTTAAACGAAAGAGATAAAAGGGTAGGAGGACCATAGTTTTTAACTACTCTGTATAGGCATTAGGCAAAGAAAAAATAACCAAACTATATGGAAGGGAAGCAAGGCAAAATTTCAGCTTCAGCTAGGAAATGGACATAGATTTTGCCTAATTTTTGTTTTCCAAATTGGTGCTCTAATGCCTTGACTCCTCACCGAAAACCTCGAGGTTGCAAACTGGGCATACCTAAACAAATATAGAAACAATGAGCGTGAATTAGCGGGATGGATCATCAAATTGAAAGAAATAATGATATTCTGCATTCTGAAATCCATGATTTTAAGGCGTTGGCCTACCTTGTTGATACCGAGCCATTTGCTGATGCATTCGCTATGGTAGACATGTTTGCATGGCAATGTGATCTGTCGATCCCCTCTTTTATACTGCATCTGGCAAATCACACACCTGCTCGTGGAAAAAGTCGCATCAAGGGGCAAATTCCAAAAGATTAAAAGAAAAAGGAGATTCTTCTTCTTCTTCTTTTTTTTTTGTTCAAAAAGAATCCTGCATCAAGTTTTCTGGAAACAAACAAAAGAATTGGAAAAATAGTGTTTGATAACTTCTACAGCAAAAACCAGCTGGACAAGTCATCATCAAATAAAGGAGACTAATTAGGGTGCGCCACGAACTTGCCCATTTTATCAGAGCAATTATATGCTAATAATTTTATTTTTTTTTGGGAAAACACTGTTAAGACGGTAACTAAAATCAAAAGCATCACCATATATTTTACATTTTTAAAGGATTAGGGTTCATCTTAGAGGTTTCTAAGACAACTCTTCTCGAGAAATCACATTTTCAATCGCTCGATAAATAGGTTTATGTGTCAAGTGCTTTGTAGATGATGATAGAGTTCGAGCAGAGAAAATTTCTCATTTCTGTTAGGTTAAGTGTTCATGACAAGATGAACTCATAAAAAATAAAAAAAAAAGTGTTTATGACAAGATTATTTGCGTTAGTATGACAGAATTTTCTCGTTGGGACACTACCAAATTCAGTATAATACCAGACAGATATCCAGATTGTCTAGAGAACCAAAAATGAAAATAGAGGCCATCACATTTACTTCTGAGACAAGGAAAAGATAAGGTCGGAAAACAGGTTTTTATTGTTTTAGGCAAATAAATTCTCATTACTCAACTGTCCATGAGTCAGAATGTTACCTCTCTCCGGATTTTTTCCTTAAAAAGAAGTTTCCACACTTGTATTTTGACAATGGAAGCAAGCTAATAAGTTCGTCGGAAAGACCTCGGCTTTGAGTGCCAACTGCCTCACCCAAGTCAAGTAATTCCTGGGGCCAATATATAAAATAAAACATTTCATTTAACATTCGTAAAAATTTTGGAAAATCCTGTAGTTTGTACTAGACGTGTCAAACCAATGCAAATAAACAAAGAAAAGCCAATGTACAAGATCAATGAAACCGCTTGCCTTAAGTACCCCCAATCTATACTGCAAAAATGGCTAATTAAAGAATGTCCCATAATCTTAATTTGAGCTGGGTATAAAGAAGTTAATCCAATATTGAAGTAATTTTCTATGCTATATATCACAATGTGATATAATAGTTTCTGAAGCCTCAAAGTACCGACATCGTTCGCCTTCACAGTCTAAAGAATCATGAAAAGCCAGTTTCATTCGTTACTAACTTTGAAGAGGCAGACGAGCAAAGGTATGTGTGGGACGTGCAACTGCCCAGGTTTCTGTTTATGCTTAATAAGTCTCTTGTGGGAACAAAATGGTAACGAATTTCTACTTCCAACAAGATTTACTTCATCCGGAAAACCCATGTCACAGTAAAATGCAGGATAAAAGAATAAGGTATACATAACGAACCTCATAGGTCATGTTATCAGGATCAATGTCCTCTTGCCATGCAACCTGCAGATATACAGAGAGCAAAAGGCTGAACTTTAGCATAACTGCAGTGCAGGAGTCCAAGACTTGATAATGCAAACTAAATATGCATCTAAACTTTAGCATAAATGCACTTCCTTTTGAACTTCAAGTTCGAAAAGAAGTGCATTTATTCCAAAAACAAATTCGTAGACTTAATAATGCAAACTAATATGTATCTAAACTAACCAAAATAATGCAGCAGAAAGAAAAACGTAAAATTTCACAAACCACAAAGGAGGATCCATACCTCAGAAGTACTTGTATTTTGCTGATTCGGAATACCTAAAAAAGCAAGGAGCAATGCACGACAAAGTGTGATCAATCAAAACCAATTTTCAGTATAAGATTACAAATAAACAGAAGTTTCTGACTAACATTCCTCAGGTGTAGCTTGCGCTTCCATGGCAGCATCTTCTTCTAGCTGTGAGTCGGTGTTTGCAGGCTCTTCTGCATTCATCACTGAAGGGTATTCCCAACTCCCCCTGCTGACGTCCATGCTTGGTAAATGATCATTTACCTCATAAGTACCGTAATAAGAAGTACTCTCCGGACCAGATGGTAAAGCCTTGTACGAACTCATGTTCATTGACCAGTATGCAGTTTCCTGGACACACAACATGTAAAGATTAGCATTTTCAGCAAATACTAAAATTTCAGTTCATGAAAATAATACAGTATTTCACTCAGCAAAAAAGGTATATGGCAATATATATCTTTAATCCAACTAAAATCACAATGTACTGTATAGTTCTGAATATTTGTAACGAATACGTTGACACTCAGTAAAGGTAATAATACACTTCAGCTTCCCCAGCTCATTCCGATATCTCATGAATTCCAGACAAAACATTAAAGCAAATGCATCTGAACAAACACCAGCTTTCCAAATTTACAAGCAAGATGGATCTAAAACAATCTTATGAGGCGGCGAACATGATGTCATCACAGAATAACTTTCACAAGAAAAGAACACATCAAAAATGGAAAAAGCAAACTTGCCTGATCATGCATTGGCATGGCGTGACCATAATTCATCGGTACATGAGAAAAACCGTCAAAGAAACCCATGAAGCCGTCGGTAGGTGTGTAAGGAAAGCCGGTGTCTAGGTAATGCACTTCCATATGTCCATTCTCATTCATTTTTGCACCACTTATCAAACCGAGATTCACATAAACAATCTACAAAATGGAACCAAAATCTTTCAATACATGTGCTAAAAAAATGGAAATTAAAAAAAAAAAAAAAAAAGAAAAGAAAAGCACTTTCACTATAAATTCATATTTGTGTATATATTTATGTGTACATTGTAGCACTATCCTCATAGACTAGAAACTTTCACTATAAATTCAAAACAAAATCTTTTTATTCAATAATTAATGACAAATTACAACATATATTCTAAAATTTGCAAAATTTAGGGCAAACATGGACATTCTCAGAAATAGTGAAGCAGAATATAAAGCCATGTTTCATCTCCTAACTTTACATTCCTGTTTGCCTACTAAGAAAATGAAAGAAAAGAACTTCAAGACATAAAATTTCATTTTCTTTTCTTTGCCTTCTGCTTTGATTCTCTCGGTAGCCAAACGCATGACAAGATTGTGTAAAGAAGCAGAAGCGGTACCTTACTTTTAAGCCAAAACTCCCTTCACATTTCGCTGTGAAGCAAAAATGGGCAGCTCGGAGGATAAGTAAGAGAAACTGCAGTCTTCTTTCTTTCTAACTTCAAATTTTCTTCCCCATAATTTCTTGAGAAAATTTGCTTCAACTCAGAGAGAGATTTGAGTTTGCACTTGACATATATATATATATATATATAGAGAGAGAGAGAGAGAGAGAGAGAGGGAGAGAGAGAGAGACGGAGAGAGAGGCTTTCTGTGTTGTGTTTGAGTTGCTCTCTCTAGAATTGTATTGTGTTATCCGTTTTTTGTGTGTTGCGTTTGGCTTTTGTGCAGAGGAGCAGCTACATGTGAGATTTTCACGAACACGCTTCCCTTCTGAGTTATGTGTTATGTTTTGTTGTCTCCAGCTAGCTCTACCACGCTAACTTGTTATTAAACAGAACAAGATTACAACAACAATCTTCCTAATTCCTATTTGCTACCGCTGTCCCTACAGTCTACTCTATCTATGCTACACCATTGCACTTGATGTAATTAATACTAGTATTTATTTAGGACGGCTTATAGACTACTTTCTCTATACACCGGTGTATATGAGATGCAACGTTAGTTAGATTTAAATGTTTGGAATAAAGTTGATAAATCTAGCAATCTACTAAAACGGTGCATCTCATACATTGTGCATTGTGGAGTTTTGGTCCATGATGCTGATGTTTATCATAGTTTGATGTGATTATGGGGAATGAGATGATTATGTTTTGCTCTAATTTCAATTTTGGGGACTTGTGTTTTTAGTTTGATTAATTTTATTGTGTGTTTAAATTCTTTGATCATTTCTGATCAAATTGTGTGTGTCCGAACAGTAGGCACTGTGTGTGCAAACATTAACTCAAATTTAACCAAAACAATCGAAATTGTTTAGGTATTAAAACACACTGATTAAATTGATATGTTTATAACACATGAACTAAAATTGAAGAAAAAAAAACACATAAAATTAAAACCCTCTTTCAATTTTGCATCTCTAGAAAATTAGAAACCTCTTTCAATTTTACATCTCTATAAATAAAAATGAAAAAAAAAATAAACAAAAAAGCTCTCCTCAGTCCTCAGTGATTCGAAATAGCTGTTTGACAGTCTCAAAGTTTATACTTAAGATTGGAGGGAGGGAAAAGAAAATTAAGAAAGAAGAATGTTTTTTATCTCAGAAAAGACAAAAGTAAAAAACATGTGATATACGGATGGATGGATGGATGGTTGGCATTGAGTGATTGAACAAGGCTTGGCAGAGGGAGGGGTAAAAGCCGTTTTTACCGCCGGTGAGATCTTCTGGTGGGGGGGGGCCGCCGCACTTACCAAAGATCCGTCTCTTTCTTCTATTGAATCTTTGCCGTACATCTCAGATCAGAACTGCGCTGTAAAAAAATCTTGAAGGTTTCTGATCCCTACAATTTGTTCAACTAAAAGAAAAAGTTGTCGGCCCCTATTCCCCAAACAGCTTTCTAAAGTGCAACAAGATAAGCTTAATTAATGTCAAAAGTATCTCCTTCCAAACAAACATTAGATAAGCAAATAACTCTTTACCACTCTCCTTACTTTCTCCAAACAGCTTACATGACGACGTAGGTTTGTACCTTATTGGTGGCTAATAGAATATCTAATTTAACAACTCTCGTTTCTTTCTAGGGTAATTGAACCAGATTTATATGACCAGCCCATTATGTAGTTTAACTTCTTCTATTTCTTCATGTAAATAATAGCATTGTATTAAAAAAAAAAAACATAAGTGAACTTTTCACTTTTGAATGATGCCTTAAGTAGTCATTACAAACTTTATTATGTATTTACTTTTGTCTAAGTCATTCGTTCATTGGTTTCTTTAGAAAGAAAAGGTGTGGCTGAGTATTATATGGGTCCATTGAAAGCTTTGTTTCTACGCAATACAAAATAATATGATAGCATTTTGATTGAACCATTGGTAAGGGTGGTTGTTCTAGCACATATATAAAAATGGAGCAAAATATTTTAACTTGAATAAGTCAATACTTCATCCAATGAAAGAATCTTATGCAAAACATGAGGAGTCGGGCGTGAATAGACAATCAGAGCGATGTCACCCTGTCGCCATTTAGGTTATAAGTTTTTTTGCGTCAAGCACGCGCACTTCACGTCCGTGTGAGGCAAGTGATCTGACAATATGTAGGGAAATGTCTATCATTTTTATTAGTATTTTGAAGGATAATCAATCCTTATAAAAAGTTGAGACAACTGAGCACTTCACATGACTCAAGATGCAGTACCCATAAATTGGGAGAAAGACATCAAATGGATTTTCTATAACATGACGTCTTGATCCAATAATATCATGTTTTTCTCCACATGACAATGTATATTGGATTGAAACACACTTTTTACTTTCAAATTAGGCCACCAATGTTATCATTTGTCAAAAAAAAAAAACAAAAACCCGTTCAAATTAGGCACAAGAGTAATGTGACATTCAACCCTTTTTTTCTCTCTTTTAAATCCAAACATGTATTAGGGCAGGTAGCAGTTGGGACCAAGAAATAAAAAGAAGAGAAACCGTTGTTCCCTAGAGAGATATATTAATTCCCTAAATTAAATAAGTTGGTTTTTTGGGGTCATAAAGCTCATTGAATATGTATATATAAATAAGATCAAATGCTAGTTGTGGTGAATTGAGTTCTCTGGGACCATATGGGCATATAGGGCCTTGTACTCGAAGCAAGGAATTCATGGGGCTTCCAACAAAAAAGCTGGTCAAAATTAAACGTAAAGGGCTGAGATTAGTTATTCCAAAGTATGTATGTTGGGTCAACTTCATTAAAGCTGAGATTAATTTTGTTTTTAATCAAGTCTTAACCACGATTATAATATAATTATGGCCGAATCTGTGACATCACTTCTTTTACACAATTTTTAACACATATTTTTGTGGCAGCAACTTCGTAATGTACTTCAACACTCCAATTGTCTATCTTTTAGACATTTCCTCAAAGAACATGTCCATCAAACATAACCCAAATTTGAAACTATATGATCATTGAATTAAGGGCTTAGGTTTCTTTATAGACTCATATTCATTCATTTTCTTCACTACAAAATGAATGCCTTAATGGTTTGGATTTGTCTACTTTTTTGTAAAGATAATCTATAAATGATGTTCTAAAAAATAGATGGTTCATATCATTGATATTCCAAAGTGGGCCATAAAAACGTGTGCTGAAAGTTGTGCAAAAAAGTTGAACTACAAATCCATCCTTTATAGTCATAATGGTTGAGGCTTAGACCATCTCTAAAGGAGATGTAAAAAATGTCGCATAGACATATAACAGTAACAAATGATGTACCATTTACTCCAACTGACATGGACAAAAAGATGTCATATTTGAAGCTGCCTTAAAATATGGTTTTTGCTATTTCCAAAGACATTCCACTTGCATTACCTTAAATGCTAGCATATTTAAGCATTATTTTATTATTTTTAAACCAACAACAACTCAACTTTTATTATTTTTGTTTAAAAAAACATAAATGAAGCAATAAATTTTGGCATATCGGGTGAAAGGAAAATATTGACAATATGTCAAATTACCAAATCAACCATCAAATTAAAATTTGATTTTGAATTTGATGTTTCCCTTAAAAATGCTCTTAAACTACTTAGTGATTAGACTACATTTAGTAAGAGATGCACAATAAAAACATTAGATAAATGTATTTGGAATAACTAGACGGGATGCACGAAGGAATTTGCATACGAATACTTGAAATAAGTATTTTGAAAATCCTTTGTGTTAGCGGTTTTTGATAGTCATGTAGTGTGGTGAATTTTTAATCTCTCGGTCTAAATATTTTGTAACATATTTCTACCTAAATTTGCCTAAATCCTTGTACAAACATTTACCTTAAGGTCTCTTTGGTTTGTGTAATTAGAGGTTTAAGGATGTATGTTTAGTAAGCACATTTAGACATGTCAATGATCGAAACTTCCAATATGACTTATCCAAGTAAGACCGTAACCTATTATTGATTTATATAATATTATACTAGCCTGTAATAGAAGTTGAAGACTTTTTTATGCATTCAAAATACGTTTATTAAAAGAACGATGTTAGTAGTGATATTTTGATCTTTTTTAGATCATAAATTATATCCAACGAGAATCCAATTCACTATGAAATCAATGTTTACTGTATATAGATCGATATGTCAGATCCGATAATACAAACCAAACTTGATAATCCCATTATAATGGACCCGAAATACAGATCAAACTTGATCGGATCCGTAGACAGATCGAAGAACATCCTTAAAGATGAAATACCTTTTAAATGGGCTTTTTCAAGGACGGAGGGAAGCTAAAAGCCTTGGGTAACAATACACGTGAATGATAAGCAATGACATAATCGTTTTGGACCCTCACTTCATTGGTCTCTCGTTTTTGGATAGCATAGAACATGACATCAGTTTTGGCCATTCATCTTTAGCTAGGGTATTTCATTTTTAGCACAAAAATTTTACTATGCTCTAGTGCAATGGATGGTTAGACGTGCAGTCAACGAAACAAAGACAAAAGAAGGCTAGATTTTCAAAGGGCATCATGGATCAAGGCTTGATGCCTCTATCTTCATAATCATTTCTCCAATTGAGACAAACGAATCCATGGTAATTTTATTTTTCAGTAAAAAGTGGAAAATTAAACCACTCGAGGCTCACAAAGATCATGAAATACGTTTTTTTTTTTTTTTTTAGTAGGGATATCTCAGTATCTCACCCCACATTCATGAAAAAAATAATCCCTTTCTCCATCAGTTCCGATACCACGAGGCACAAATAATATTTTAACACTTGAGTCAAACAGTAGCCGGTTGCCCCAAAAATCGCATCCGCGAAAGTTCACCGATTTAAGAGTTTCACACTTTTGCTACTTTCCACTAAGCCAACCCCTTAAGTTTCACACTTCTACAGTTTTGCTTGTCCCATTTTCCCCTCTTGCACACCACTTGTTTGTTTCCGTCGCCGGCAATAAACAGGCGTGTAAAAAGAAAAAAGATAATGTGCGCGTAAATCAATTCCCTTCAACGGTAAGCCGAATCTCAGAAACATAAATTTGAGCACAACAATTCAACATCAATGAACGAAGAATGATGAATCAGTATAGATTTAATAAACTTGACAAAGCAAACATAAAAAACTAGCAAATCACATAAATGAAACTTCAAGATGAATGGAATTTTTCACCACTCAATAATCTGGTTTATGGGAAACAAAACTCAATCCCGCAGTAAAATTCGGTTTGGGATTAACTCCCCTATAACTGATTTATTTTAAGAAAATTTTGCCGAAACGAGTTCTTCAAAAACTCAAAAAGATTTTCATCACCA